TCTCTCTCACTCTCTTTGTACTTAATCAACCCCCGACCTAACCGCTTCTGAATTGCCATCTAGGTCTTGAGCTAACATAATCTCTAAGCAAGTCCAGTCGATACGGGAAGCGTAGTTGTAAGTATTGTGCTTACTTAGAACATAAAGCGGCGAACACTCGCGCTCTTCTTTTTTAGGAAAGTAAGGGGAGAAAACAGTGTCGCTCAAATTGCAATTGTTTCACTTTTGATCAGCCCGATCGATGATACGATCGCAGACACCAAGGAGAGATTCTCGCTTCGAAACCTGATTGATGAATTCTCCCCCATCTCTGCAGGACACTCAGCGGATCGCGTTATAATTAGCGAGGGAAGCGATTACGTCGTGAGAAAAGAGAGGTGTGGAGCGAAGGTCCCACCCCGTCCCCTTTTTTTCGATCGATCGTGCAGTTTTCCAGAGAAATTTATAACATCAAGATAGCGTGTGCGCATCTGTTTGAGTTTCTGTGTCGACGCACACAAACACATATACGCATACAGACTTTTCTGTAAGTATAAATAAAAATGGGCGGTTCGTCTGTTTCGATCAAATTTTCTCTACACGTGCGTTTTAATTGGGTCGAGCGGTTGATGCGATAAATAGAAGTCGAGATAACGATGGAAATCGAATGAAATAAGTCGATACAGTGAAAATGAGCGTGTTTTAAAGTCAGGGCACGTCACGTATCTTTATTTTATTTATATACGTAATAAGGAATAAATTTAAACGTCGTTTGAATAAATTTATTCAAAATTATTGCGTCTAGGAAGCTAAGCAATTAATCGAATTTTATTCCGCCCTCTACATTTTTAGCAGTTTTTTTTTCCACGAGAAATTGCATCCTTCTACCAAGATTTATATCCAATCGCTTAAATCTCACTTTAACTTTTACAAATATAATACATGTGATGCATTTCGCATCTTCAATCCTTTCGCGCCACATGCAAAAGCATTTATGCTTTTGCGTGCCGGATTTGCCGCACAGACAGCCAAATGTCCTGCATGTCTCGACATGGTTTTAGAAATGTAATATATGCAATCTAAATTGTATTACACCTATTATTTTTTGTTGTATCTCTGCGAGATATTCTGAAGAGAATCTAATTTTTATTCCAAGTTTTGACGCTACGTATATGTCCAAAACATAATCGTGTGATTTTAATATAAAAATACAATACTTTAAAAAGAGAATCTGCTCTTTACGTTATATCGTATTGGTGTCTACTCGGCGACAGCGAATGGATGAGACACTTCTCTTTTATTAGTGACTCTTCCATGTATTTCACAACTTTTCTCAAACAGAAGAATCTGTTTTAGTACAAAGCACTAGCTGAATGTATGCAGAGCACCGAACGGATTTTCATGCAAACCGCTAGTGTATTCCGCTAATCGTGTGCTAATGAAAGAAGAAAAAAAAACCGAGTATTTTAAACGCGAGTCCGCAAATGCATTCTTTCTGCGTTAGAAATTGTTTGGCCGTTAGCAGAAACATTACAACGCCTAAATAAATTGTCAAACACACAAATATTGTTTGATCATGTGTAGTAAAGTATAAACGATTAGATATCAAACAATCTTAATGTGACAAATAATAAGAAATGGAAATTCTAGTGTCACGCTCTTGATATTAGGAGCACGCTAAACTATTATTATTATTTGATATCTATCTTTATATTTTACCGTGATTTATCAGGATGTTGTGGTTTTTTTGTTAATATCTACAACTGAAAAAGAATGCATATGTAAAATCGTGTTATCTTATGATATTTTTTGTCATTACAATAAATAGAGTACATTTTTAAGATTGGTTTAGGTGAGACACTTGACACATTTGATACATTCCTAGAACGAAATTGAATATATATGTATATGGTATAATAACGATGCAAACTCTTGCTTCTTGAAGCTGTCACTCATTAATATGCATGAGAATCAAATGATAAAATGTATCATTGTAAAAATTGTGTTAACATATGATGTTTGTTGATTTGCTGCATCAGTCGTTCCGGATGCAAATTGTACACTTCCTTGTGCAGAAGTCATTAGACTTCTATTAATGTCTATTCACTCTGTGCTACTTTACCGCATGAACTCTTGATACGTTGAACGTATTACATGGTAATTTCTTATTACGACGGATCTTACTTCTGACAACCAAAAGAATGAATGAACAAGCAAAAAGAATATTCGTCGAAAACATATTTTGCATTAATAATGTAATAATTATAGGTTTTTCTCTCCCATTTATACACTTCCACGCATTGCTTATTTAAATGCGATGTGATTGCGAGATGTGCAGAAATTTCATTATCATTTTGACAAGTTTTCAAACTGCATCAGCTGTGATGCAACTGCATCTCATACATTATATGTAACATATATGTTCTACGTTGAATTTTAAACAGCGTTACGAAATAATTATACATTTTACTTTCAGACATTATACTAATTTATAAATTAGTACACACATTTGTACGCTGCCAAATTTAACAGCGTTAGCACACCACGTCATATCTTTGGATGTTATAATCGATAAATCAAGTTTTGAGATGTAGTTTAAACAATTTGTTTTTGTTATATTTGTCTACCGTCTTTATACAATTGTATAAAGAACTGGCAACATAATTCGAAAACATTGGAAATATTTTGAAGCTAAACAAAAATTATGAAATATATATACATGTATATGCTTATAACTACGGTGAATAAAGTATATAAATTTTCTTTAAATACAAGATATTACCTAGAACGGACTGCGGCCTTTAGAGCGGACTAGCAAACTGCTTGTTAGTCCGATAGAAGATTTGCAAAATGCAAAATTGGAACCCATGGCAGTTGTCAGCTGGTGTTACTACTCCAGTGCCGCAGCCACCGATTGGCTACGCAGCAGGCGCAGATCCTATGGTTTTGATGCAAAATTATATGCAATATTATAATCAACCAGTAAGTATGATTTTAAACAAGAGTATTGCATTCTTTATGTAAAATGCATTGTACAACAGTCTTTGACCAAGTTTTTATGAAATGTTATATACATTTGTATAAGATTTACATGTGATAACTTATTTACAACTTAGTAAAGATTGTTGTATAACGTTTACAAATGTATTTAAATAAGAATAAGTTAAAAGTACGTTGAGCTGAGCACATTTTATTTTATGTCAGTAAAAAAATTTGTCACTTTACTGTGATATTAATGATTTAAATATTTTTAGCAAAGATTGAGAAAATCTTCTTTTAGATCAGCAAAATAAGCCAATGTTTTGATTACAACTTATTTTGGTATTTTAAATTAGTTTTATGTTGAGAGTTTGTTCAAGTATATCTAACAAGCATTTTTTAATATTGATATAATATATGTTATGCATGTATATCTTTATTAGACGCCTAGTGGATATACACCGGAGCAATGGGCAGCTGCACAACAGCAAGGCTGGGCTCAATGGCAACAATGGCAGCAACAATATCAACAGTGGCAGGCACAATATGGCGACAAGGTATAATATAAGAATATATTGACGTACTTGTAATTTACTCATTTAAATACAAGTATATAATGTATACAAAAATAACTGTGTCTAACGAGATAAGTATATTTATTATTATAAAATTAATCTAATTTTCTTAGAGAAATTGCTATCAGTAATATTTTTTTTCATTAAAGCAGTATCATCAAATCCTCACATTCATATTATAAAATATATTATTGCAGAAATATATGTATACATAATGGGTAAAAAAATACTTTAAAATGTATAACTTTTTAAACTTTTCTTGAATTCTTATTGAATAGTATAAGAGATTTCAATTAAAGATTTGTAACGGTCTTTTCAATTTTTGTTCAAAGTTATATGAAGCAACAAAGAGAAACATATAAATATACTTTTGCTCATCTTTTATTTTTTATTTTTTAAAATAATGTAAGGTAATGTTATAAAAATAAAAGACTTAAAATTTATATCTATACGAAATTTTATTATAAGTAATGTTTATTTTTAAAGTTTAAATTGTTGTAATCAATACACATAATATAATTATAGTACAAATAATAAACAATATTCTTATAATTATTATAAAAATGTTCTGGGACAGTGTTTTCTATTTTTGTATAAAATTATATGAAGCAACAAAGAGAAACATATCCTTAATCATCTTTTATTTATTATTTCTTTAATAACGTTAGGTAATATTAAAGAAGACCTAAAGAGATAGAAAATATTTAATATCCATAGAAATATTAACAGTTCGAACTTATGAACTTTCATTAATAGGAAATTTTTTTCAGTATCAGGAAATGAAGCAATTACCGGCGCAGGATATGAACTTGGCGAATCAGATGCAAATGCCACCAAACGTGCAACCACCACCTCTCCCCAAAGAGGAGACGCGACCTCCTTTACCCCCCACCACCACAAATACATATCAATTTACGAACATGCCACCTCCGCATCAGAACGATCTTCCATTATTTCCTACGAAAGAATCTACCAATAAGATAATACCACAAGCGAATGTGACAAATTATCCTACGAATCCACCATTACCTACGAGCCAACAACCACCTTTACCACCCAGCGAGAATAGGGAGAATATCACAGCTGACAAATCCAATATTAATGTAACTAGTGATTCCAATAGTGCTAAAAAGTCGAATCTCGAAGATGATGAATTGACCGAAACTGAGAAAACATTTGACGCACAGTTCAAACAGTGGGAAGAACAGTTTAACATCTGGAAACAGCAAAATGCCAATCATCCGGACAAGGTAAGTACTATTTTCAATATGTAGTTTATTCATTTTATAACCGGCTCTATAGCTCCAACTGGGCCCTGGCCTTCACAACAAATTGCCTCCATCCGAGGCCCTTTGTGTGTATTCGCAATAGTGAGTTTTTACGGTGAGGGGTTGTTAGCCTCCCGCCAACCCCCTTTTCGGAGGACGGGGATATGTGTGTGGCAGGATAATCTCAGTAGTGGCCACTTCTCTCCAAGAGAGGTAGCGTCCGAAAAAACCAGTGGTATCCGTGAATTTGAACTCGGATCTTCTCGTTCATTTGTTTACTAAGCAGCGCACATTTCTCTGTGCCACGCTCGCCACATATAGTTTATTATGAAAATAACTGTTATTATGCACATTAGGCGACACGTTTTCGATGAAATTGATTTTGGTATTTGTTGAAAAAGTAAAAATACTGAATAATTTGCGTTTTATTTCGATTAATTTCGAATTTTGTAAATAATCTCTGATATATAATTATATTGAAAATTAGATAATTTTTCTATATGTTGTAATTATATCTTAAATATTTTTAAATATAATTAGTTTAAATAAAATTGACATTTTAATTTTTATTATGTATATCAAGATCAACGTTAAAATAATTGAAAACGTGTATGACATAACGCAAATAATTGAAATTGCACTTTTCACAAAGATTAAATTGGTATCTTTGTATTTCAGACCCAGTATAAACAATACGAAGCGAAATGGACATCGTGGCGTGAGAAACTGCTTGAAAGGCGCGAGCAGATGCGCAAAAAACGCGAACAACAGAAACAGGCTGCTGCGAAAGCAGAGGTCGAAAGGAACAAAAGCATACCTGGCGACGATAAAATACTGAACATCTTATCGAACACTGAAAATCAACGATTGATCAACAATTTATTGGGTATTGGGAAAACTTTGGGTCTTACAGGGAAGCAAAATATTCCCTCATCTTTATTACCACCTCCGCCACCACCTCCACTGCCAGAATCTACAAATTCCAGTAATCAACCAGTGACTCAGGGTATGCAGCAAACTCCATCGCAAGTGAATATGAGTAGACCCACAGCGCCGAATTGGTCGAACCAGCAACAATGGGGAAGTCAACAATATAATCCCAGAATGGAGGCTCCGAGATACGGAATACCGACGGTGCCTCCTCCGACAATGCTCTCAACACCGGATGTTGGATCACCCCAAAAAGCCTCGCCAAATTTTGCACAATCACAGCTGAGTCTGCCAAACAATAACGTTGCACCAAACTTTTCACAACCTCCGCCAAATTTCCCTAATAATGATCGAATACAATTGCAAAATGTGAAAGCGCCGGGTTCAACAAACATGAAAGATTGTCTTCCGTTTGGTTCGCCTGGTTCCTCAAGTACGGATGCGCGTTTTATGCATCCAAACGATCGACCACCTTACAATTTTGACGGACAGCCAAACTTCAGAAGAGGCGATCAGGAACGTTTCGGACAAGATAATACTAATCCAAATTTGCACGAACAAGATCAGTTTAGACCTCTTTCTGATACTTTTGACAAAGCCGACACACAACGTTTCAGAAGAGGCGACAGAAATTTCAACGATTTTGGGAACAATCAATTAAACTCGCAGAATAATTTTAATTCAGGTAATGATCGATTTGGCCCAGCAAATGACCGTTTTGGACCCGGGAATGATCGTTTCAACAGGGAGAACAATCGATTTGGTCCGATGGGAGGTGATCGATTCGGCTCAAACAACGATCGTCCAGGATCCGATCGGTTTAACAATGAATGGTTTGGACAGGAGGGAGATCGATTTAGACCTGGAAATGATCGGCTCGGAATGGACAAGGAACGCCACGGGCCTGGCAACGATCGATTTCCAGATAATGAGCGACTTGGATCGGATCGGTTTGTACCAGGTGGTGAACAATTTGTTTCTGGAAATGATCGTTTCGATTCCAAAGATCGTTTTTTCTCTGGTAATGATCGATTTGGGCCCAATAGCGAACATTTTCGCCCGAACGATCGATTTGGTAGAGGTAGTGCGGACTATTTCGATTCAAAAGATTCAGCTGATCACAGACGAGACAATTTCGGTGCTAATACTCGGGGTTTTAATAGAAACCCATCATTTAGTCCACCGAACGAGCTGTCACCGGAACTGAAGAAACTTATGGAAAAGCGAAAAGCAGCAGGGGACGTATTCAGACCTAGTTTTATTGATTCCGATAAGTCAACTAGTATTGGTTCTCTTAGCGAGAGCTTTAAAAAAATTACTGGTGATTCACCTTTTAGAAGCTCCTTCGATTTTCAAAAAAATCTACCAATGCGTAGTGGATTAACAAGTAGCGGACCATCAAGTTTTCATCCCTCCGATTCAGGACAAATTTCTACTCCGTCGTATGGGCCACGAGGACACTTTTTCAATCGTGATAACGAACCGCCTTTTAGAGGACATCCAGATAACTTTGCTAAACATAATCCTATAGATTACAATGAACGATTAGGGAAAAATATGGAAATCCGGCCGCTTTTAAGTCAATCCCAACCAACAAATATTCAATCTCAAGATGCTGTTAAGTATCCTGAAAAGATTGAAACTGCTGATACTTTGCTGCGAACTGATAATATTGCAGATGCAAAAGATACAGAAGCACTGCAAGCGAATGAGGCTAATAGTTCTATTGAGCAAAGCGATAACGTTATTTCTGATGGTTCAAAGAATGATAATGGAGAGGAGAGTAAAGTTACTGACGATGATAATCCTTTGCAGCAGGATGACAATCAACATGATAATCAACGTGATAATCAAGTCCAAGACGACGCTGAAAAAACAAATAAATCTAATAGTAATGATAACATTATTAAACAGCCTGAAAGTTTGCCTTTCATGGGTGAAAATGATGCACGGCCAGTGGATTTGAACCTTGAACCGCCACCGGAACTACCCAACTTGTGCCCTATTACTTCGGATTCCAGTCAAAATATGCCACTGAATCCGAACAAAGATTTCGATAGAAAGGGACCAGCTGATAACCAATTCGACATGCGGTTTAATAATAACTTTGGCCCTAGAGGGATTGAATTTAAATCTGGTGCACCGTTTGGGCCTCGGGGTCCGCCAATGTTTGGTCCCAGAGGTCCTCGCGCGTTTCCTGGTCCTGCGACATTTTTATCGCAAGCTTCTATGGATATACCATTGGGTCCACGAGGTCCGAAAGATGGTCAATTTGGACTTAACATATCCAGTGAAAGTCGATTCAGTCCTAGAAGATCTAACAATGAGCAATATGGTGATCGAGAACGTAACGATGAGTTATCTGACCCTCCAGATAGTGAAAAATTTGATCCACGTGGCTCAACAGATGAGCCAATTAGTCAGTTCGGACCTCGACCGCCGGTAAACGCAATGTTCGGCCTGAGAGGACCTGTCGATCGACAGATTGGATCGAGGGGACCAACTGATTTACCATTTTCACTGCGAAATCCCAATCCATTTGGACCCAGAGGCAACAATATGCAATTTGGCCCTAGAGGAGTTAATGATCGTTCGGATTCCCGAACACTCTCCGAAAGACCATTTGGTCCGCGAGGACCCAATGACGGATCATACGCTCCTAGAGGACCCAGTGATACACCTTTCGGCAAACGTCTTTCCGACCCGCAGTTCGGCACTCTGACGTCTAATAAGTTCGATAAAGTGAATGAGGTGCCGTTTGATGAAAGACCTCCTTTTGAGAACAGTGGATCGTTTGGCTTTTCTGACGAAAGAACTCTTGGTTCTCGAAGATCTAATGAAGATATGACTGGTCCCCGTGGTTCTAACAAATCTATGCCTCTTGGTTCTCGCGATTCAAATGATGCTCTGCTTCAACGTAACCTGACGAATTTCAATGAGAATCGGTTTGAATCTCACGATTCTAACAATGGACCGTTTGGATCTGACTTTAAAGCGAAAGGTCCGATGAACGATCCAACTAACGTAAATTTTCCATCCCCGAACGATTCTCTGCTTAATCGCGGCGATTACATGCGTAGAAACCCCTACATTAGAAAAGAACAGTTTGAGGACAATGCTTTTGCTAAGAGGATCAGGTATGAAAATCCAAAGCCGGGTGATGAATTTAATACAAATGTAGGCAGAAATCTCGATACGGAAATGAAGAAAGAGAATACCAGTGAGTACGTTAGACGTATACCTGAGCCTAATAAAAAAGAGTTAGAAACTGCGTCTCGTCCAGGATACGGACCCAACGATACTTGGAAGGACAAGTTCGGCAACAGTCAGAGGTCCGATGCGGAACAACACAATATCGACAGAAACGTTCCAAATACATTCGACGAGAAATCGAGATCAGAAAAAACCACGGTCGAATCAAAGATGAGTGATTACAAGTCACGATATGGTGGTGAATCCGCGGCTGGATCCGATTTCCAATCGAAATATACTTCTAATTTATTCATGAAACCGTCTCCAAAGGGTGGTCAAGAATTTTGCGTGCAGAGGCAGTTCAATTATAATCACGGCGAAGGTGATAAAAAATTCACCGATTCGTTTCACTTCACTCCGGCAAAGGTGATTGATTACGGACACGTAGCTCGTACTTCGACTATGGATCAGCATCTGTCATCGGTCCAGTGTTTTGATTACGGTCACGGGAATCTAAAACCAGCAGTGAATCGCGAACAGCAGCAGCAGCAGCAACAGCAATATTATCCAAAGAAAGATTTTAGAAATTGGGTGGAGAACGAACAGAATCTGAAGGAATATACTGAAAAGATGAGCAACTACGAGAATACGAAAGGATTTACGGGACAAATGTGGAACTACACGAAGAATTACGACGTGCGCAGATCTGCAGACTGTAATAGACGAAAGGGACATGATTGGCAATTTAATGATAAGAAAATCGATGGAGGGAAGAAAGAGAACGATGACCGTAAAGAGAGAGGATACAATCTCGAATCAGAATCCCGAATTTTTGAACGAAATATTGATAATAATCAAAGCGATCGATACCAAAATGATAGAAACATTCACAAAGGTAATTTAAGACAAATATTTATCTCAGGAATAATATGTTTTATTTTAAATAATAATAGAATCTGAGATAGTCCGAAATTTTTAATGAATTGTAAATCATATTTATTTTATTAATACACGAATTAATCATTTACTAACTAATGTTAATTTTGCAACACAATATATTGCAATATTTGACAGAATGAAAATAATTTTATTTTTAATATTTTTTATTATATATTTACTTTGTGTGATATATTATTTTTATGATGAACATGTTGACAGTAATATATAGGTTTACTTTCTTATTAAACATATAAAAAAAATATTTTTCAGATGTAGAAAGAGTTCAAGAATTACTTGATTCCCGAAGGGTAATAAAAGATAATGACAAAGATGATAATAGGTATTGTGAAATATTTTATTTAACTGTTGTGTAATATAAAAGTAGCTAATGATGTTATATAAAACAAAGTTTACGGGACATATGTGTTCTGAATGTATATATGGCATTTTCTTTAGATTGAAAGGAAATGTTAACTGGCAGGAGAATTCAAACAAAAACGTCGTAGATACAAAACTACAGGAGACCAGGTATGTTAACATTACTTTTTGAGTCTGTAGAAGCTTTAATCTACAATTAATCAAATACTTCAAGAGAAAAAAAGGCAGTAACTAAAAGAATATTAAACAAAGAATTTAAAGATGTTTCTTAAAGATGTAATAATTTTCATAAAAATATAATAATTTCAATAAACATATTTCACAAAAGGGGATACCTTTGATGAAACTTATGTATAAAGTATAATACATTATATTGTATCTATTGTCACAGATAAATTTAGATTACTAATTAAAAATTAAGCTAGGAGTAAACAGGTATGATATCTGATATCATGTGGGAAGTACAAAACTTAAGAAATATGTATAATAAAGTTTAATAGTATTTCTTCGGAAATAATATTTTTTTAACATACTTTTGCTGGGATTTTACCAATATTATTATTATTGGTAAAGAGTCATCAATCATTTTATCAATAACTTATTATCATATTATTGGTAAAATGATTGGTAAAAAAAATCATGATATATTTGGTATCGTAATACCAATTATCAATAACCAATTGATTACCAGTGATTGATAAATAATTATTTTGATTCCAAGTTAATATTCTATAAGTTTGATGACGTTCATCTTTAGATAATTGTGCGTTACATGTTTTACAACTGCATCTAAGTTAATACATGTATATCTTTGACAAGGTTGGAAAAGTTACTTTATAAAAGTATCTTACAAAAATACAAATATTAAAGTATTTTACTATGAGAAACAACGGAAGGAATAATAATGTAAAATAATGCAACATATTTAAAAAAAAGAGTATTCAAACAATTTGCAGGATTGCAGGAAAAATTAATGAATTATGTTGAAAGCTATATTGAAAGTTAATAAATTTTACATAGGACAGTATATATATTTGTTATATATTATCTGTTATTATGCAACATAACAGAGAAAGTGGTCCTATCGTAAAATTTTATTCTATATAGAAATTATTTCCATAGAACAAAAATTATTTTCCTTAAATCCCAAATTCCAATTTTTTACATGGCACCTTGATCTCTCCATTTGTTAATGGTATTTGTTTATACATTTACAACAGGATTATTTAAAATAACACAAAAATTTATTATGTGTTATCATCATTTTTAATACTTTAAATCTTTTCGATTATACTTCGACAATGCTGGCGAAACTTGATGGTTTCATTAATTATATTGTATCATATCAATATTGCGCATATGCAGTTGTGCATTTGCTGCAACACGATTTATAGTATATTTGTCGAAGTTCGGAAAAGAGGTTTATGTCATTTTTAAGATGCCATGAGATTTATTAACTATTTTATGTTCTACGATGTTTTATAATTTATTGAGACGGATATCTGTATACCCCGGGTTTGAGTAATCGAATAATAATTATTTCGTATAATATAATTTTTCCGGATATCCGAATTTCAATAAAATCCTTATATCTATTATTGTAATATACTGACATAACAGATATATCAAATTTAATATATCTGTGTTACACAGTCAGTTCAATTCATCTATTAATTACACATAAGTATGAAATACTATGCATGTATTTAACAAAATTTATCATACAAATCGATTATTTTTCATAATTTATAGTATATGTTTTTCAATTAAATATATAAAATATAAAGAAAATATAGTATAAAATACTATACATATATAAAGTATAGTTTAATGGATGCTTTTTTGCACGTATAAAAGTCTTCTCCGTTTGGCGGACAAAACTAGAAGCTAAGAAATGCTTGTAGTTTAAATAGAAAGATGAATTTATCTTAAACAAATATCTATACCAAATTTTCATTATTGCTCTCAACAAGATGCAACAATATACCACACAGTTTATACTCCATAATTTTTAAAAACTTTACTGTAAGACTTATAATTCTACGTTTACAATCGTAACTCTAGTATAGATCGCAATAAATGTTTTACATTTTTATCTCTGACTGAATTTTTTACAATACAGTGCCGATCTGTTCACATTGCATTTAAAAGTGTATTACTCTCTAGAAATAAAGAGAGAATACTCGTGCTGGTTTACTATTTACAATGAATATTTCATCTTTGACGCACATAGTTGTTTTATCATATATAAATGATATTTACAGCAACTTCATATCAACTTTTATTCTCATCGAGATGTTCATAATGTCATTTTATTGTACATACATAAAGACTGTGTCTCTCTTTTTACTTACTTACTGTAAAATATTTGTAATTTTACTTACAGTTTCGATCTGTTCGCAAGAAGGTTCTCATATTTTATGTCTTACGATTTCTTTTTCGATAAATGATATTTATTTACAGAAGTTTTATTACCATTCATAAATAATATGATATACAATATGTTATTGTACGTAGTATTGATCTATTTATATGAAATAATTTTCTATAACCAATTTTTAATAACCAATTATATAATTACTTGAAAAATGTGGTTGTTTGCGAAATTCTTTTTCTTAAATTGTCATTTTTATGCACGGGCATATGCAACTGCATAATTAGTGAGAAGAATTTTTACAATACAAACATATATATTTATTTGCATTTTTACTTGCGCTTGTTATTACTATACTTTTATTACATAAGATTGAACAGAGAATTCTCCATTCGTTCTTTTGTTTTATTAGGACAGAAACGAAAAAACGAATGATTTTTTCTATCAATCTGCTAGAATGTAATTATTTATAAGTATACGGTTATATTTTTCTTATTTTATTAAGAGACAAATGTATGTTACAGCTTTTCTCTAGATACAAAGAAAAATGTTGCGGAATCAACTACAAAAACCCTGGAATTGGCCAAAATGCCCAATTACACGATGGTCGACGACCTATTGTGTCCACCAGGTCGCCAGAACAGACCACCAAAAATAGCTATCATTCTCAGAGGACCACCTGGTAGCGGCAAGTCTTTTGTGGCTAAACTTATCAAAGTACGTTATAGTAAAAACTTAAATATATATGTATTGACAAACATTAGTAAATTATTATTTGCCTGTAAAATATAAGTATTAATATATTTTTACATATCATATACTTTGAATATTTAGTTCAATTGCATTGTGTGTTTAAAATACACTATGTGTGTATGTAAAGATATATTTCATTATATTGTTCTTGCTACAGGATAAAGAGGTTGAGCAAGGTGGCTGTCCGCCGAGAATCTTGAGTTTAGATGATTATTTCCTTGTAGAAAAGGAAATAGAGACTAAGGATGATAATGGAAAGAAAGTCACAGTTAAGGTACAATAATTATGTTCATGATATAAAACTTTGCTTCGAGTGATGCTTACTTTTATTTAGAAATAGTGTGATAGCAATTTTGTTATGGCAAATTTGTCATGAAGTTTTATTGTAATAGATATTGTTATCTAATAGTACCTATTATTTTAATATTAAATTTAATATCTTTCTGATAACTTTTGTTTTACTTAAAATTATTGATTTGTCCTTTCTCAACAAAGATTAAAAATTCTTTAAGGATGAAAATTTGTAACCGTTTAGTATGATTGTTAATTTGGATTAATAAAGATTTGAATTTTTCTGCTCTTTATCCAAGTAAAATATTCTTTTAGATATTTTTATATACAATTTAAATACACTTGCATTCTTACGGATTTTATTTATAATAGGAAATGGTGTACGAATACGAAGAGGCTATGGAGCAAAGTTACATAACATCCCTTATTAAAGCTTTCAAGAAAAATATAATAGATGGATTCTTCAATTTTATTATATTAGACTGCATTAATGAGAAGATTTCGGATTACGAAGAGATGTGGAGTTTTGCCAAAACAAAAGGTTTCAAAGTAAGTTATTGGTTCATATATTTAATTTAATAATAATTAATTTACTTACATATGGTTTTGAGATTATTATGAATATTCTTCTTATAGAGTTTTGAATTTAGATTAAATCTTTTTAAAACAATAAATACTTTAAAGTTGCATGTCTCGATAAAAATCCCAAACATGAGCATATAACATTTTACGAAGAATTTCTATAAAAATATTAATTTTTTTAAGTACATATTGATACTGGTTTCAATCTTATTACTACTGGCGATAATATTACAGTACTAATAGTTTCTGTTATGGTATTATTAAAGGTATACATATGCGAGATGGAGATGGATCTGCAGATATGCTTGAAGAGAAATATTCACAACCGTACCGAGGATGAAATTAATCGGATTATAGATTACTTTGAACCAACGCCCAGCTATCATCAGAAGCTAGATGTTAACTCAATGTTGCAAGAGCAAGCAATAGAAGAGGTAATTTTATTTATTTAGTTTTAAGAAAACATACATTGTGACAGAAGGATTGATCTATTGATAGATCTAAATATTTTTCTTTTCAACTTTTTATTTAAACGTTGTGATGTAAGTTTACGATTTGTAATTTGAGTTGCATAATACATGGGATTGATACTGTAAGCCTAACAGTGTCAGGTATGCTGTTCTTTCGTCTGTGTATATATATTATAAGATTGTAAACACAAGTATTTTTATTCAAGGTGGACATGGAGGATAGTCAAGAGACTCAGGAGAAATTGCAAACTGAAGATAGTCAAGATAGCCAGGAAGATGTTCAAGATACGATTGTAATTAAATGAGCTTAAGAACTGTTTGTGTTGTTACGTCATTCTATGCTTTTATCCTTTTTTTATGTGTATTCTTGTTTTTAGGGTGTTAGTAAATGGGAGAGAATGGAAGCTGAAGATAAACTAGGTTAGTTACACAATTAATATTAATGTATACTGACAAATTAGTATACATTGTTCATATTCTGTACATATGTTCTATGTGTAATATAAATTATTTGTAAAAATATACTCTAATTATTGTAAATAAATGAAATTAAAATCAATATGAGTCTGTAAGCATAAATATGTGCGCACTACAGAAAGTAAATTTATGTTTGAAAGAACATCTGACTAAAGATAGAAATTAGTTTCAATTAAAAAGATATTCCAATTATAAGTGTATAAGGAATTTAATTAATAGGCATTAGAATATAATTATATTACTGCAGAAATATATGTGCTTATGGGTTCATATTGACTTTGTTACAGTTTTCTAATTGTATTTTATCTATTAATTTTCTTTGTAATAATGTAGATCGATTGGATGGTTTGGCAAGAAAGAAAAGCGAAGTAAAACCGCAAACTATGGAAGATTTCTTACAAGTTCCTGATTACTACAATATGGAAGATACTTCGGGTAAAAAAAGAGTAAGTACCACAGTTAAAACAATATTAAATTATAATACCTTTTGAATCACAGCTTGTTTCTATTCAAAGAGAATTTTATCTTGGCAACATAATAAATTTATTATTTTTTATTGCATTTTTCTCAATTTTTAATATGATACATATTCGTAACAAAGTATAAATTAAATTTTGTTAATATCTATTTAAAACTAATTTCATTATTTATTTCTAAAGCATTTATATAAATTTTCATTTTTGACATTATAGTGTAATATATGATTGCAGTGAGAGCTTTAAATCTCTAATCTTTTAATGAGTACAAGACTTTTAAAAGAAAGATTACATGATTACTTTTTTGTAGGTACGTTGGGCAGATCTAGAAGAGCGTAAAGAGCAGGAAAAGATGCGTGCTGTCGGATTTGTTGTTGGTCATACTAATTGGGATCGAATGATGGACCCTACGAAGGGTGGAAGCGCTTTAACACGCACAAAGTACATATGATTCAAATTTACTTTTAGAGCACGTAATCAATGATAAGAATAAAATTTGATATCTTTTGATAAACACAAACATGATTTGTTTTTTTTTTAGACTTTTACGTTAGAACTTTTACGTTTTTTTTTGTAATTTGGTGTTTGGTCAAATATGTATAAGAGTTTCCGGACTTTGGCTTTATAATTTTTGGGGGTATACTTAGCAAGTAATCCAGCTCTATTTCCAAAATATGTTTATTCTCAGTTGATGCACATATCAAAACTGCTTTCAAAAGTAGAAACGACATTGAGAGTGATGTATTAACCGAGGAGAAATATATTTTGAAGAAGATAAGACTAAAAAGCTAAGTAGTAAACCCCCAAAAATTATGGACACAAAATTCGGTAACTTTTTAAATAAATCTCGTATATTAACGAAATATAAATTTATATTTCTCTGCGCTACTATTGTTCAAAATGTTGTCAATTATATTTGTACAAAGTATCGTAGAGATAATTATTATAGTATATATTGCATTGTATTCTCATAATTATATTTATGTATATAATTAATATTTTGTTTATGTGTTTGTTCACAACATAATACAAATTAAACAAAAATTAAAAAGAAAAGTAGACAAGTAGCTAGTTACATTAACTTTTTTAGTAGTAAATAAAATGGTATACTTTATATTGCGTTGTAGTCTCGTTGTATTATACGAAACATGAAACCATTATTTACGTGATAATTATTATTGCAGGTTTTTTACGCTGTCATAGAAAGATTAATAGTTTACCGTGAATATTAAAAATGAAGTGCAGCATTCAACTTAATACAATTGAATAATTTATTAATATAGTTTATCGTTTTATGTTTGAAGAGCACTACGGTATATAAAAATAGTTACAAATATAAACTGTTCATAACTGTTTAGTTAGGACTTAAGATTACAAAATTATTATAATTATAAAATAATAAAATGAAAAATAAAGAAAATAAGATAAATTTAACGCATTGAGATATGGTTATAAGTATTATGCATGAAATGTATAATGTATTTGTATCGTAAAAATGAGACTTTGTACAAATGAGAAAAAGTGCACGTAATAGAATATATCGATATGTATATAATTGATATAATAAAATACACGTTCACTTTAACAATAATATTTTCTCTTTGCTGATTTTCTAATATTTTGTCGATTTAGCTTTCATTTTTAGATTGCAGTTTTGACAATAACACAAATAAAGAAAAGGAAATAAATTCAAAATATATAGGACTTGGAACTTTGATTTCTTTTATTACAATTTTATGACACAATTTGTACACCATGTATATAAAATAATTATTACTTTATAGTGCATAATATGGAAAATTACATCAACTAAAATAAGAAATGTAATGTGTAATTATAAAAAATTTTTTAATTGCAGTTTGCTTTAATTGAAATTATGTTTAAAGATTTTTTTATAATCAACAATAATCATATGTAAAATATTTGTGAATTTACTATAATTGAAGAAGATAAATGTTGGCATCTTAGTGAGAATTTAAATTTAGATTGGATAAGTAAAAGTCCTCTTATTTTAAATTGTTAGAACAACAAATTCAGAATATATGAATATCAATTCTTTGTATAAAAAGTCAAATCTCAACTTGTAAAAGTCATCAAAATTGTACGTCATAATGGATAGAATAAAAATATAAACTATGCAGTGCGTAATTTTTGTTATTCATTTTTCAGTACACTTTTATTATTTTTCTAATATCTCACATAACCAAATATGATATACATATGTATACGAGTATCTCTCTCTCTCTCTTTCTCTCGCGATTATTTTGAATGATATTTAATTAATTGTTATTTGAAAAATTTGCTATAATTATACTTTGTTCATAGGAAAACATGTATATACACGATGTTATGCAATATCCGCCTCACCTCTTATTTATGGAGTGGATTAGACTGATTGTGAGTTAAAAAGTCCTGTACCATTTTGCAATTTTCACCATGGTTAACGAGTTATTAATTATTAAAAGTCGCTGTCTTAGCCCGGCTTACTGTCCAATTCAAGCGCGCGGTGAGATACGGCCATCCCGCGATCGGCGTTGCTAGGCACGCTTGAATTGGATGGTAGGTCGGGTTAATACAGTGATTTTTAATAATTAATAAATCGTTAATTATTATGAAAATTGCAAAATAGTACAGGACTTTCGACTTAGTCTAGTCCGCTTTATCCGCAAATAAGAGGAGAGGCGCGTATTACATAACACCCTGTATACATGCACAAGATTAATATTGATATACACGGGATGTACCATAAGTTATATATTTATAAACATAGATAGACGTTGATTAACATTATATTGAATAATTTATTTAACACATATTTTATGCCATATTTGAGCAAAATCTTTGGATTAGAGAAAACTAATATAGAAATGTAGAAAACTAATGAATGCAATTTTCTAAAGCAAGTTATCTTAACATATCTGTTATTCTAATTTTACTATCTCATAGCAATCTATCGAAATTGTCTGATTATTAATTTATTAATTAAACTTTTTTGACTATCAATTACGATAGAAATATAAAAGAATTTTCAATACGCACAATGCCCTATTATCAAAAAATTATTCCGTCTCCTCTATTTACGAAAAAATGTACAGAAAATTTCAGAGTATTTATAAATCAATAATAATTGATTCATTACAATTGATATCTTCTCTTAATATGTTCGCTATTATCGTTTAAAAAATTGTTCGTTGAACTCAGAAAGTGAAAGAAATCACTCTACACTTTAAGTAATTTGATTAAATATAATACATGTACTTTATTATATATAAGGGAATTTGTTACATAAAATTCTCATCGTCATACATGTAGGGTGTGTGAACTGTCCAATTTTTCGATTAACCCTTAACTCGATTGCCTTAGGATTTTTTCACTTAAAATTTTACGGCAAATTAGTTACTTTAAGGGGGAGACCAGTATAGCGGACGGAAAAATAAAGGTTTTTCGTGAATTTTTTAAATGAAAACTATACATGTCAATCAAAACTGTGTTGTTTCTTCTTGAAGTATATCTTTTCATGTGCATTTAAAAAATAATAAAACGGGATACGTTAGTTATTTCATCCTCTAGAGCTAACGTAAGCAGGTCCTGAAAATAAAACGGAGTCAGCTGGTTGGCAACATTCCGGCCAAACGGTTGATCTAAAATAAAAAAACCAAAAAGATTCTTAAAATATATGTTTCTGGCTATCGTTGCTCGTAGGGGATTTTTGAATTTCGGAAAATTACCAAAGATATGTACATTTAAAAAAAAGTATAAGTTTCATTCTTTTTAGCCCCTTTTTGGTACTTTAAAAATCCAATTTTTAATTTAAAAAAAAATCCTACGAGCAACGATAGCCAGAAACATATATTTTAAGAATCCCCCCTTTTGGTTTTTTTTATTTCAGATCAACCGTTTGACCGGAATGTTGCCAACCAGCTTTATTTTCAGGACCTGCTTACGTTAGCTCTAGAGGATGAAATAACTAACGTATCCAGTTTTATTTTTTTTTAAATGCACATGAAAAGATGTACTTCAAGAAGAAACAACACAGTTTTGATTGACATGTATAGTTTTCATTTAAAAAATTCACGAAAAAACCTTTATTTTTCCGTCCGCTATACTGGTCTCCTCCCTTAATGTTACATGTCTGTTGTAATAAATTAACAGTTTAAAATAACAAATTAGTGAACTTGGCGTATTTAGTAATGCCTTAAAGATTTAGGTATTAGATATGTAAAACCATAATAAATGTTGTATACCAAAATATGTATATAAACTATATTATATACATAATCAAATTGATTGTTATATATCGAATGTCTGCTGAATTATTTTACTATATAAATAATAGTTATATATATAGGACATATTATTATGCAAAAAGCGAATATATTTCTTATATGTCAATATAAAAAATATTTATATACAAAAATGCAAAATAAATGTATTTTATACAACATAAATGATTTTCTAAGGTATATTTTCGAATAAATGAACTATCTTATTTATAATATACATATAAATCGAATTCATAATGATACATCTATTGTTTTTGTGTACTTGTATGGCAACATATTTATAATAATTCTATAGTTAGAATGGAATTAAAAGATGGTTTTGGGCAAAATTATATCCTACGAAATTATAAATATGCTGAATTTTGCGCAGGCATTATAAAATTACGCATCACGTTATTCAAATGTTAATTGCATGTACTCTTATATTTTCTTGATGAAAAATATAAGTACAAAACGCAATAATTTTTCGAGTTAAGGGTTAATATTTTCAATGCAAATTTCCTTCAGAAAATTTAATGGGGAATTAATTAATATGTGTATCAAGAATTAACAATTGTAACATAAATGTACACTTTTGTGAATATAAATTTACAAAGCATATTTTGAATTAAAAAGTAACATAGATAATGGACTTATAATTCTGTAATTGGAGGTCGTCGGATTGTTGAATACCTAAATAATTATACGTTATACATTTTACACTTAACAATCCTACATACAAAGTTTTGTTCTATTTACATTAACGTAAAGTCAATTTAGCGTAGAGCTGAAAAATTTATTTCACAAAAATGTCGTACTTTTCCTGTGATATTATATTATATTGAATGTGTTAAAGAACTAATATATAAACATTCCCGGTTAACATACAAACATTTTTCGGTTCTCACATAAATAAAGAATTATCTATCATGTTTTCGGCACGTTTTCACTTTATTCCACATAATTCTTAACGCAAATTTAACATACTTATGGTCCATCCTGTATACAATCTACATATACATATACGCGCAGTTCACAGTGTGTGCGTGTGTATGTGTGTCTTGTGTGTGCAACTTTATGAACAGAACCTGGATTTTTCCGTTTCTAACAACTTCATTAAAGCTACTGATAACAACAGTAAGAGATAAATAATCATTATAATGTGTGTGTACACGAATATTAATAACGAAATTAACGACAAGCGCAGTGAAACGATCTGCGAGACGGTACACACATGCACATTTATATATGTATACTTATATATGTATATACACAGGCGAATATACATACAGTATATGTTTTATATATATACACATATAAATAAAACATACACTGTTATATACACATATAACAATAATTCCTAGTTCAATGAATATTAAGTATTCGCTTAAACGAATCAGCGTGCTCTTTATATATGTACATACGAAAATCGCGAAATTTCGCATCGCGACTATATGGCCTTCAACATAGCTTATTGTCGAAGCTCGATTTGCAATAACGGCTAAATTTTAAGAATTAATATATATTAAATTTTTCGTTCAGTTTCATATCTCGACGACGGGTAAACTCTAGAACTATAACAAGATTGCAGATTCGCGAAAATAAAAAAAAATCGTTTAACAAATAACGTGTGCAACGTGTGGATACTATAATTTTTAGACCAAGTGACTTGCAATCAAAATAAGTAATGTTATTATATTTTGAATTAAAAGAAATTAAACAGTCTGTTATTGATGCAAATAAATTGAAGGAAATTAATTGATTCCACCTGAAAAAATAAAAAGTAAGTTATGTTGAAAGTATTTTCTCTCTAATCATGTTCTCCAATCTCTCAAGCAATAGAACTGGCATTAATTCAATTTTAAATATCAGCACAATTAGAAAAGTAAATGAGCATGAAATAGAACAAATTTCGATATTGCACGATCGAAATTTATTGAAGCCGCTCAATATCGAATTTGATTCACCCGTCGTCAAATCGTCTAAATATACATGCAAAATGAAGAGAACGATCATTGCATGTTAAACGAAAGAGACGACAAAAAAGAATAATCTCAAGCGGCGGAGAAAACGCCAAAAGGTCTAGTCTTTCTTTTTTCGTCCCAATATATTTATAAGCGATACTACTGCTATCTAGGCAATCACGGATACATTTCTTTCGATATGCGAAAGTCATGACAATATTTTATTAATATAAATATATCCTTTTTTTGTTGCGTATGGATTAACAAGTATCCAAAGCTACTGAAATATTACCTGCAATACTTTGCAACTACATTGCAATAATCGTTATAACAAGCTACCCGTTTCGAAACATAGCTTTGTCTTATAATGTAAGTATACCTATGGATTCACAAAACGCAGATGTTTTATGAATCTATAAGTCATTACTGTATTGATCAATTATTACTAACAATACTTGACGTTATATCAATGATCCAGAATTGCTTCGTAATGTCATCACTAATGTATTTTTAAGTCATATGTGAATCGATGATTACTTGCTCATCAATTATTGCCACCAATAATCAGCACATATAGCTGGCAATAATTGTCATAAGGAGTTGTTGTTTTGCAGAGTGTACCTTGACGCATTGTACTTCGTAAAATTTGTTCAATCTAAAAGGACAAAAATATTTGATTTGACACACTGTAAGACACAGAATTTTCCAATTGATTCATTTATAGATGAATTATATTGTTTCATTTAATTACTACTTGCCCTGTCAAACTTATGTAATCTTAATACTTTCCTTTTAATAAATAACATTATTTTTCTTTTCAGTTGTACAATATAAATATTACTAGTCTAGGTCTGATGAGATCTAAGTTTGATGCGGAAAAATATCAAACAATTTCCAGAAATTAGATACGTAAGGAAATGCAAAATATTTCTATTACAATCAAATATTTTTATCCTCTTGCATGTTTGGACAAATCTCACATTGTATGTTCTTCGCATACAGGTTTGCTGAAGAGGATGATACGCGGAGACACATTCATGACATATAACACAGTGTTTAGTACGTATATGTAGAAAGAGAGTCGCTAAATGGCAGTAGGGAATAAACAAACTAATACACCGCTGTTTCTTCCCTCTTCAGGCACCGGCGAAGCCATACACCTCCAACACTCTGATCTCGAAGTCACCACTAGCACAGAGAGGTGGATTGTTAAAGGTCGAGCATCGATCCGTTTTGCCGAATCTTATATTTTCGTCCATCCAGATCGCCTGACCGTCCCTGAAATTAAATGGTAGCTCAATAAATTGCTGCAATTTACTGAATTTCCCGAGCCATTGCATAGTGTTATACTGTTGTCTATAATTAATGTAAATTATTTCGCATAAAATACATTACTATTGCATCCAAAACGAAAAGATATTTCTCTTTCCATATTCTTTTCTCTTTGCACAATAGCATTTTTAAACAATTTACCAGCATTAATTAATTATAACAAAACTTACCCGCCGCCGATAGTTATCATTTTCGAATCAGCAGCCATGAATAGCTCGGCTGAATGATGTACTTTTGAGTCATTGTGCGATGAATCCATGCCTACCCAAGGATACTTGGATCGTTCAGGATACAAACTGAACAGGAATGTCTCACCCGTACCAAAGTATGCTTGTCGCTGACCCTTATCGTCCTTTAAATTACGCTCGCACCATCTAGTAGAACAGTAAGCTCCAAATACCTGAAAGGTACAAAGTAAAAATTACAAAATTCAGTCGCAAGATAAAATATTCGAACTGTATAAAAAAAAACATTAATATCTTCTTTCGACTCAACCTGATGTTACCAAATATTTTATTAAAATGATTTACAGAAATTTTTTATATAATTTTTAACGCGTGTTAATTAATGGGAAACGTAAATAAGAATTTACGTGTAAAATCATTAAACATATTGTTTATTAGCGCATATTAAATAGATAAATAATTTTAATAATACTCACCTCATTATTACAGGTTTTTATCATCAGAAGGGTCGGTTCATGTTGCTCAACTCGCACATAGAACGTCGTCAAGGAGCATCCATGTTCTTCGGTCGTGTACAACAAGATAGGCTGGTACATCGTGATCCTCATCGGTAGCCACGACCATAAGGTAAATAACTGATGAATAAACAAATTCAAATAATTAAATAAACGTAAAAGATGGTTTTTATAACTGTACAAACATTAGTTTTTAATGGCTTACTAATAATTCAAGAGGAGCAGACTAACTCACGATAAAACATGCGCTTTACTGATAAATTAAATTAAAATAATTATATCAACTATTTTATGAAAAAATACAGTAACTGATATGTTAACGAAGATTGACACTTTTGTATCTTCTTGGCGACAAAAGTTCACCGTGCTTTGCTTGATGCATTTTTCCAATGAGATAATCAGTGAAAAACATAAAATTAACTGATATCTTTTTATTAAAGATTAAAAACAATTTTTGTTGAAAATCTCATCTTTTGTCACTTTACTATTCTTTCTTACATTTACTGTGTTTTTCCAAAATAAAGCAAAATATCGAAATCTTTGTTGGCAATCATTTGTTTTCTAGATAATAGTATTAATCGTGAAAGATATAATTGTGATACAAATATATTTGTAATCTAATTGAATATAATAGGTATTTCTGAAACACCGACTACATGCTGCAAAGAAGTTTAACTCTGTTTTTACTAGAACTTTACACAATTAACAATCAATTTAATATTTATCTCGTAATTTTTTGTGCATAAATTATCTATAATTAATGTACAGTAATGTGCTAATTCGTAATTATATATTCTAACATCATGAAGTATATATCTCAGAATTATCTACATTTACATATACATACACACATACGTATATCTCTATACAAAAATAAACGGTACAAAAATAAGTAGAACATTGCCTATTTATAGTGTTTATAATGTCGCAAATATTTTCTTACAAAGAAACATTAATTCTAATGACAAAATGTGTTTCTATCTCGTTTATGTGAGATATCAACAAAACACACAGAGAAATAACGCTAGTATGCTGCCGAAAGTAAACATCCGTATCGTTTGCAAATCAGTGCAATATCATTCGTCATGCAACAATCAGGATAGCATCAATCGGTTAGAGATAAAAATACAAATGAATGTTATCGAGACGTCAACATGGGTTCTTGCGCTAGCGATGATAAATGTATTCTTTTTTTTTCGGGCGGCATGTTCTGTTTTTCTAAGTTTCCTCTTTCACTCTTTCTTCCTCCAATACAAGGAAATATTTAACAAGAACATTTAATTGCAAATATCATCTGCTTATTTTATTCTCAACTGAATTCATTCCCATTTCGAACGGTACCTCAACTCGTAGATTTCGAGAGATTCCTTAGCGCAAACCTTTTCCGATCATTCACCCTATCTCAAAATAACCACAGGGATTATATAATCCCTCTACAATCATATAAAGATACTTCGATCTTACTTCGAAACATTCTATGTATACAGGATTTGACAGTGGAATCTGATGATTTTTTTGAGCTTATTGTAAAAGAATGACAAGATTGAAAAAGCAATAAGTAAGATAATATAATAAAAAGGAATAATCTTTCATTATAGTTACTTACTTATAATGAGTTTAATTCGCATTAAGTTTCAAAAATAATATCCTGTAAATGAACACTTTTTACATTTACAAATCCTTAGCACTTTCGTGAACATTTTACTTGACTCTATTTGATAAATTTCGATTTAATTCTTGTGTTTGCTACCATATGTTATTTTTCAATTAAAAGATATATCAAGATTGTATTTTAAACATCTTCATTAAACATTCTCATTTGTAGCGTCTCCATAGAGTGATGAAAACATTTTTAGGGAAGAATGCTAGTTGTTTGAGGTGTTCATTTATAAGACGTTAGAGCCTAATCCATTGCAAAGAAGTGGTAACGTTAAAAGTTTATTTTTGTATTCTATTTATTACTTGAAGTCCTGTGTGTGCCACTGTAACGAAAAAATTGCCAAATCCTGCTGCCAAGCTCCGCACATATTTTTAGGGCGATTGCATATACACCAACGACAATATAGACATGCCACAGAGTAAAGACCTATGACTATTGACGGGAGCTTTTGAATCTTAGCTCAGTTTCACGAATGAAAGGACGTCCGTGTGAGTACTTACATCAGGCATGTCTAGGATCTGGGAGCATATACTTTGTATGGGGTAAACGCCCATTGATAGGGCGCGTGGTCCAGGACTGTGTGCGCCCTACACACCCGGTACCATTTAATCCGTCATTCCAGTGAAGGCAGCACAACACAAGACAGCACAAACACGTCAGTTACATCGATGTGTACAGTGCTGGGCACTAATAGTACCAATGCGAACTTTGCATTTACCCACTGCACAAACGTTCCATGGAGATTCGATACTTTTCTTTTTATGTAACGAAAATGTTACGCAAAAGAACAGGGGGTGTAAATACTACGTTTACTTGATACGAATAGTCGCATAGAATTTCATCTATTTAATATTGGCTATCTTGGACGTTTTAGAACGGTGTAAGATCCCTTTCACTACAATTAAGTACATGGCATTGTGACATCAGAGGAGGAAAATCGTGTAAATGTTTTTCTTGCACTATACATCGAAATAAATCAGGTTTCTTTGCATGCTACAACTTGTATTCGATAGAAGTCACATTTATGAAATGTGTCGAGGATTGTTCTTCCGACCCACGGATTAATAGATAACTTGATCAATTGTTATGTCCATTTCTGTGTGATTGATACACATTTTTAGGGTGTAAAATTTGAGTGCAGGGTCCTTCGACGATGCTAAGAACTCATGATTATCTTACTTGAGCAAAATAGTACCTCAGAGTCCTACATTTAATACTTTTCCTTCTATAAACTGTACGTTTGTCTTCCTCTTCTAATCTTTATTTCTCGATCTAATGATGACGTTGGCGAGTACAGAGAGATATTCCTAATGTGTATATATAAAGTATTATACACGCAAATATAATAATTATTAAATATAATAATTATTAAATATATGTTATATACAATATATATAATAGTTGCAAAAGATTTCATTATTCGATTTAATATGTGTAGTGAATCCTTCAAATTCGAAATATTTGTAAATTAAAATAAAATTTGTACACACTGTACACAAAGATATTCAATGTAAATGTATTTTAGATTCCCTACTTTATTTAATTTAATGAAGCCTGCTACCTTGTATTAAAATTTTATATTAACTAATAAATTTTATATTAGTTGTTGATTTGCAGTATCACTCGAAAAGAATAAAGGGTCGAAACGTTGTGTAATAAACTAATTAAATAATTAGCCAGTTGGGTTGACTATAAGTTTCCCGTCTCAATTTTTAATCATTACTGGTGACAATAAGCAAGCTCTCCTTTTATATTAACACCTGATTACTGTATTATTATATGCAGCGAAACATAAACAGCTAGCATATTCCAAGTAATTAACTGTTTAATATGCGCACATTGTTATCACATCGTAACCACATACTGCTTCAAATACTGTTCCGAAATGTTACAGGTCTCTTTAAGATATTGGCAGACAAAATAGTCGACGATATTGATTTCCAATGTGATAAAAGAGATGCCCTCGATTATATTAGAACACAGAGACAGAATGACCGAATAATTTTTTAACCGTGTAGTAAGCTTGAAGACGATTTTCTAAAGATATAAAAAGATATGATGAACATATATAATTTGTTCCACAATTTTTGATATTATTTATCTTGGAAATAAAGCTCTACATTCTTAATAATGTTCTCAAGCTTTATGTTGATTTCCTAATGAAAGTAAAAGCCACTTGAGGATTAACTGAAAAATGTGATTTTGATATCTGTTTTTCATTGTTATTGTGTACTAGTCGAATTACAAATTCTTGTAGCATGGATTTGAAAATACGGAGAAACATGTAGAGATGTTTTCGAACAACAAATATGATGAATGTGAATAAAGTTATATTTAAAGAAAGCATCCTCGAAAAGTTGGTATAATACCTGAATCAATACCAAATAGCATTCAAGAAAACAGGGTTTGAGTTTCTAACAAATAACACTGAAAGGAATGAGACTAGCACTAAACGTTCGCCAAGCAAAGCTCGATTAAAATCATTTGATTGACTGATAGTTGAAGATCCTGCCTTTTACATATATACTTGCATTATACTTTCATGGCTTAGTGGTTCCTGATTTTCTCGATTATAATTAAAAATACAATCGATCCGTTTGTCAAGAGACTACCATATTATTATAAATTACAAACTGAAGCTTCGAAGGTATTAATTCGTTTTCCTTTTTTAAGACTTTTGATATCCCATACAGCCATATAGAATTATAACGTTAGAAATGAAAAAAATACATAATTTTTTTCTTGTACACATCGAAATATATTAATCTTTTTCGCATACTTCTAGTCATGTTTGATAGAATAGATTTGTAAAATAAGTCAAGGAATATACAAGCTTTAATCTATTATTATAAAATACATTCTTGAAAGTGTAGGACGCATATAAATATTTAATACTCTCGCTTTTGTTTATTAATAAGGCACAATTAATACAGTTTCTCTGGTATATTTTAATAACTTATAGTTTATACTATCAAACGCAGAATAGCGGCACATGAAGGAATTGATTTATCTCGATGTATAGCACAAGAAAAACACTATTTTTCTGACTCACAATCTAATACAGCTGTAAAAAGACGCTACGAAAATCCCATGATCCTGTTAAGAGAAGGAAGAAGAAAGAATAACGTGACGGACGAATAAGACAGTTACGTCTGAGAGAAATCTCTAATTTAATCTTTTGATTACAAAAGTTCCTGAATTATTTTCTTTTGAATGCTGATCTTGCGAACTGCTATAGATCATTCGTGATTGCAATCCGCAGTGATACACGCGGAGCGACACTGAAAAAGCCAGCGAGAATTTCACATTATGCGTTGCAGTATACATTGCTGACGCGAGTATTGGTTACTGCCGTTGATAGTGGAAGATGTATTAAAGGAGTCATTGCGGATGGATAAATAACAGCAACAAAGCTGGCACGACAAATGTATGGCGATGAGTGAGTACGTGTAGAGTATGAATGTAATATAAATGATATCCGAGAAAGGGAGGGGGGGGGGGCGGCGGAGTAAAGATGGAGGTGGGCAGAGCACGTGAAACTGACAACACATTTCCCAAAAAGATAATTATACGATACCCTGTCTTTGTACGTGTCTTCACATTCTTTCTGAAAACAAATGGAATCATTGAGAGATCTCAAAGGCTTTACCGAACCCTATAAGAGAGACTACTTTAACACGTTGGGCTGTACAAAGCGAAGATTGAAACCAAGTATACAGAATATTCAGTAAATTGCAATATAACCAATTTAAGAGAGCAATTTCTCGTAAAAAAAACAAGAAACGGTTGAAAGAACATGTAAATAAATTTTTCAGACTGCGTAGTTTTCCAGAGAAGATTGCTCTGAATATACGTTTATTTGACTATACATACATTGATACTTATATGTCGAATCTTTTATAACAATTAGTTACAACTGAAAAGAACTTTCAATACCTCTTCAGAGCCATTACATTTGCGATTGCTGCACTTCGAGAAGTCAGTACTACTGAATAGATATACTCAACATGTTTCTTTTTTTCGGCAACTATGTAATTAAAATATAAGAAATAAAATTCGATAAAAACACTTCTCTTGTATTTACTTTATTTGTTTTTTTTTCCACGGGAAATTGTTTCCTTACTGGTTGTATTATATACGATTTACTGAATCTTCTGAAATTTCATCGAGTTAAGATTTGGATATCGTCGGCATGCAATAATGATCCTTACGTTTATCCGTGAGTTAACGAAACGCGATAATCGGCATAAGGTTTTTTCTCGCATACCTGTAACATCGAAAATCGAACTCAACGAAATTATATCGGTTTCAATTCTCATTTCAAAAAGAAATTATACATGATATCCCCCAGCATAAGCATCCCCTTTCATTCCTTAAATTGCAGAAGATAGGTATACAACAAATAAAGCTTGCATTTATATAATAGGTTAAATGGTCTCCTTTGTTTTAGGAAATAAAAGGGGATAGTTACATATGCTGAAACAAAATGTTGCATATTAGTAAAACTATAAATACTTCATATTTGTACCTGTAAAAACTTTGTCAATTAAAATTATGATTATGTTCCAGTTGTATTTATAGCAAAATTCATTTCTGATGGAATCAATATTTCTACAGATAATGGTTTATGTTTAATACAGATTTATAAGTAATTACATTAATTACTCTGCTTATCAGACTATAATTTTACTCTTTAATTTACATAAATATTTATCAAGCTGTAATATTTACATAAACTGTAAGAGGTTTAAAATTCTTCAATTGTATCGTGATTAGTAGATACAACAATCAACAAATGTTTATTAATAGATGCAAACAAATGTGGAATTGCGTTAAGAAAAAGGAAGAAATGGATGAATAACATACTTCTCGTATCGTGAGTGTGTGCGACATCATTTGAATGTTGACTTGGGACTGGCTGGTAGGTAGATTGTCTGTCGAGCGTGACCTAGCCAAGGATCGGGACCCTGTTAGGACGCTTTTGCTCTTCAGAGCCATTTCTGTACGCAGAAATACTCGTGATATGTATGCTGAGCTGAGTCCGCGTATCCCAAAAGCGGTGCGCAGAAATTTAGCGGGTGTCACCTGAAAGTTGATGAATTATCATTTTTTAGTAGCATTCCTCAGAATTTAAAGTCTTGTGAGATTATAAAATATTGATGCGAAAATATACAATAATACAGCTTCAAGTTTATTCTAAATGTAAGCTTTTCTAGAAAATATATATGTATAATTTAGATATGTACTTTTAGAACATTCTTATTTTAATTTACGTGTAAAATACTTTTATTTAAATATAAATGTAACATTTAATCGTTCCTTTACTCTTTAATAATACATATTAATGTTGTTGTGCATCAACATTGCTTTTTTATGTTATATAATAGATTATATCGTTTAAGTAAAATCTCTTTAGTTTTTATAATAGTCTATAATACTTCCGCTACACGCAATCTATTCTAGATTTTGTTACTTACTGGCATTTGTCTGCAGAACTTCGATAGAGCAGCATCTATCCCATTCTTCGAAATCTCATTCATCCATTCGGAATTCTGCGGCGAAGAGTGCTTATAAAATAATAAAACTATAGCCATAGCAACCCGATAAAAGACCTGAAAGCAAAAGGATTAATGACAATTTAATAATTGTTAAAACAATATTCTATAACAATTCGCGACAAAAAGAACAATTTTATGCACGATATAGTTAATGCTCAAAAATGCTCGCAAAACAACTTTCCGCTGGCACTAAGTCAAACGTCAAATTTAACATTTGTCCTATTTCTAGAATATAAGTGCATTGCACAGTACACATAACACACGGTTGATCTTTATCTGTCGGTTGGGTAAACGCCAATTTTTCTCGCACTCTCATATGTGCGGTAGATGGATGGTTTCACGTGCCACTGTTCTCAGACTGATTTCTTGAATGCATAGCAAGAATCAAAGTTCGGAATTTTCCGGTTGGCGGTTCAAACCAGTTTGAACTCGGAATTTACGATAATCGGGTGATTCTAACAATTCAAGCTTCCTTCTTGAAGTTATAATTGTTCGAATCTTTATGTAAGCATTTACAGTGTATTTTTGTTTATTGCAGTGTTTTACATTATTACAGTGTAAGCATTACAGTAAAATTAGATATTTATATTCGAACAGTTTGTACAACTGTCTATTATAGAAACACCAAAAAATTTAATTCACATTTTGTAATCTAATATATACTATAAGAAAATACGACATATGTTCTCTATCTTTTTATATCTCTGATTGTTTTTCTTTGCATTGAATATTATTTTTACTTGACCTTCTTACGTCAAAACTATTTAAACAGTCAAATTTTAGACTATCGTTCAAACGATTTGAACCAATTGTGTCCCACCTATACAAATTATTCAATATAAGACTAGAATTTTTAATTACATACAAGTAGATTTGGCAATACAATTTATAATGGCCGTTGATAGAGTCAGACTTAAAATATGTAATCTTACCTTAATGCCTTCATGAAGGAAACAGTCCAGAACCCTGACTAGATGTTGAAATGGAAGAAGTTGAAGAATCCACCAGATCCAATCCATGTAGATTCTTTCTGCTCTTGAGCCGGAGCAATGCCTCGCTAAATGTACAGCAGCTGATTTCTTGAAAACGTGAAATTGAAAAACATACGTTACACACACGCACAAAAATGTCGTCTAGAAGTCTATTGCTGTAAATAATTTTATATCTGAAAATTTCTTTTATACCATTTTAATGAACATGTATATATCGATCTGGACTAATATCAACTGAAAGATATATATATATATATATCTAGATATATATATATATATATCTCTAGATAAAGAAGTTTATTCTACCATGAGATAAGACACTGAGGTGGAAATACAAGTCTTACGTAAAATATTACGAGCAGTTTCTTTCGAAAATATTAAAGACAGGACATTTTTTCTCTTTAAGGTTTATACTAGGAATAAACACCATGATTACTTCGATATGACAAATGGAGTACCACGGCAGAATAATAAACTTATAAACAGATAATATGCATTCTTATCCTTTTATTTTATACATTTAAAATTTAAAAGGACGAACGGTAAATCAAGACGGTTTAAAGCAACAGAGAAAAAGTAAACCGTTCAATTGAGGAGAAATATAATTTTCTAAAGTTTAAATTTTAGGAATCACTTACGACGTGTTTCTTAGTGATTTGTTCTACCGTTTTCCACGTAACTTCATAAAGGAGTTTGGTTTGCGTGATGAACATTTTCTCTTTGGCAGCTACCAAAGTAGCCATACAGTGGTAACATTCCTCCTCTGGAAAATAACATAAGTAGCGGTTCAATGGAAGTAAACAAAATCCTTACCATAAATTTACTTATTTCAGAGACTATAACACAAGAATTAAAAGATATATGAAACAGTATTCCGCAAGTCTAATTTACGAATAAGTTTATTATTAAGTAGGAATAGAACTACATAAATTATCAACTACTCATAAGTAACTAACGTTAATAACTAATTAATATCTCTATTCATTATTACGGCACAAGCAGAAAATATTGAATAACACTTTTTCATCTAAAATGTATTTTTCGAGAAAAATAAAGATTGAAAAGTTACGTCGAATGTAAAACTCATCAAATTGACACTGTGTCTACTGTTAACTACTAAAAAGATATACCTGTTTTATGTTGGTTATCTTATGTCAAGTATACTTTCTTTCAAGTGCAAACGTGACTAATTTGAAGTCGATATTTGATCAACGTCAGTGTTTTCTTGACCATACCTGGCATCTTTAATAATACAGAAAATTTATTGCGAAAAATATTACCTCAGCCAGGGGGGTTTGAACCTGGCATATGCCTCGGTGGTCGAATTGGTGAGACGCCCGCCTAGAGTGTAGGGAGGGTCCAGGTTCAGATCCTGGCTGAGGTAATATTTTTCGCATTAAATTTTCTGTATTATTAAAGATGCCAGGTGTGTATGGCCGAGAAAACACTGACGTTGTTAATTACCGCTGGCGACATTGAAGAATTCTGATTAGCCGACATTTTACATAAGTCCTTAATTTAAGTAAAGCAAACACTGAACCTTTGTGATGTGTCCAGTTATTATCAAGTTATTGTTGACCTAGTATTAATTTACCTGGCACAAAATGTAAGAGAAGTGCAGTTAACGGATAAAGGGATGGGCTGTATGTGATGTCGGGACAAGCATATCCCAGTACAGATACAATTCTGTCCGCCACGTTTCTGCCCTTCCTCGTCAAATTGTAAGACAAGCAATGCGTACTATCGACGAACGGCGGCAGCATGATTGATTTTTCTGGTAATTCTGCAAACAAAATAATTCCAATCTTACGACGGACGCGATCAAGGTAACTTTCTTATTGGATTGTACCGCGAGAGGCGAGGTTATCACTTGGGGCTTTATCTTTCTTGGCTCGCACCTTGATTACGTCTTCTGCAATAATTTCAAACTTGAATTCAGCGCTATTTTCATAAGCGTGTTCCCAAGTTGAGAGCATTAATTAGATGTGCAGTGAACCAAGTTTGATCTTACAATCGCGCTGCTCTCAGATTCCGCTCTATGATCCTTTTGTGACCGGTACAAATGCGCTGACAACAGGTGTAGCGAAAATATAGGTCAAAGACCGGTAGTTCAGTCCATCCTTATTTCAAGGCCGTCCTAAATATCGCTGTGCGATTCGCTTATAACATTTTAAGATTGTACTTAAGACGGTTTTGAATATAAAGAACGAACTATGAACATCGGCCGAGGATTCGTGGTATGCACGGGGAGAATTTTCTTTTAAAATTTATCTGAGGAGCCTGTAATCGTGGGACAACATGGCATTTTGGAGAATTTTGTGAGTTATTTGAAATTTTATTATACATTCTACTGGTAAAACTTCTTCGAAGTACCAGGCGATTGCACGATCTTCATGGTAAATTTTGAAAGTAACTTCTCCCCGTGTACAAAATGCATTTACTGACCAGTCGTTCCAAAGACCTGGTTCACCATGTCCCAGTAGAATCCGTCGAGCATGTTCTTGCCGTGCGCGTGCTGATCGCAGAGCGCCGGCCAGAGCTGCGTCCTGATGCTGTTGTTAAGTGGCCAGGCGTTCTCCCGTATGAGCAGCTTCGCCTCCCGCTTCCTGCCGGCCTGCAGCAACGTGTTAACCTCAGCGAAGGTCTTGAGCGCCTGCTTCTTGCTGGTGGGCGACTCCGGCTGGATGACGATGTTGCTGGTGTCGACATGCGGCGGGAACGCGTCGTCGATGTCGGTGACGTTGGTCGCCTCCTCCTCGACCACCGACAGCGTGTTCGGCGAATTGTCCATCGGGGAGGCAGTCACTAACATCGCTCAACAACTACGGCACGAGATTCTTCATGGCGGCCGCTCCGGCGATTTTTCACGCACCTGCCGCTGTCTACGTCATGTCTTGGGACGTTTCAATTTTCATCTGAAAGACGAGGGAAGACGGTTAGGGTGTACAAACGGACGATTTCGAAGACTTTTCGAGTACTGTAGATAAATAGAAAGGATTTTCAAGTATTATATTTGTATTACAATTAGCGAGATAAGATAGGGGCAATTTGATGATGTCACATTATACACGGAGAGAATTTTCTCTTAAAATTCATCCTGAAAATCATGTAACCGTGGGACATGGGCATTGTGACATTTTATCATACATTTTACTAATAAAATAATTCAACAGTAAAATTAAAAAGAACTTATAAAATTTTTCAAAATGTTCCACGATTACAAGATTTTTAGTTTAATTTTAAGAAAAAAAATTCTCTCCGTGAATATTTTACTTATACTTGGCGACATGCAATCAAACTAGTCTTCACTCCGCACTTCTTTATTATTCATTATTTCTACTTTTGCCGTTTTCCCACGACACCAAAAATTCGTCATTTGAATTTCATATTCGCGTAGAGGAATGCGCGTAGGATAAGAATGTCATTATTCATATTCGCGTAATCAATTTAAAACAAGCCTGACTGGAGCGGGGGTGGAAGACAAAGTTCAATTACTATCATCATTAGAAGCAAAGGTGTCCTTGCATTTGTGAGAGGTACAGAATTATTCTTCAAACATTATCAAATTATCTTATTACTTCAGCCTACATTCGCAAGCAGTAACGAACAAATAAATTTTCTTACGTTCCCTTCCCGTAACAAACTGCCCTAGTCAGATCCTAACTTTACTTTATTCAGTCTGAAATTCATACGTTTGCGATATACGCCCTTCAGGGCGACATTGATTACCCTTAATCCACGACTAACTTATAATACATGTGTCGTTTGGTTCACGTGGACGGGATTATTCATTTTTTTAGCACAAGAGAGAGAGATTAGATCAGGGGCGGCAAAAATTATACATAGTCGTTTTGCTGCGAGGAATTCTTGACCGATTTAATTAAACGCCGATGAAATGAATAGGAGCCTGCGAGAGACGCGGACAATTTGATCTCGGGTCGATTTAACCCTTTGAAGTATACATTTTTCTAGTGAATGTCATTTACGTATCCACTTGACAAACTAC